GGGATAATTCTCATGTGCTTTTCCTAGAAACTATTATTGTTATTGTATTAATATCTAATATCAGTGAGTCCTTACTTTCTACCAGAAACCATTCTAAATGCTTTGCATGCATTAAATCATTTAATCTTCACAGCAACTCTATGATGAAGGTGCTACTATTATTCCAATTAAATAACACTAAGGCACAGAGGTAAAGTAATTTGCCTGACATCACATAACTGGTTAGTAGTAGAACCGGGATACTAACCCAGGGGTCTGGATTCACAGTCAGTGCCCCAGGATACCTTTTCAGCCGTAGCCACCACAGACTGTCTCGTGGCTCAGTTACTTCATCTGTAAAATGGAAATAATAACAGGACTCACTTCATACGTTTGTTTTGAGGATTAAATGATTTGATGCATGAAAAGGATTGAAGTATAGTAAATGCTCAATAAATGTTAGCTTTTCTTATTCAGAGTCCTCAAACTTTTCTTCTCTAATTCTTTTTTGCCTTTGGGCATAATGTAGTCTGCGTAAGATCTCTCTATACTCAGTTTCACCTTCTTTTCATGATGTAGGCTAAACTTTTTTGATACACTTCCTAGCCCCTAAATCGTATCCTCTTCTAAACCCTCTAATACATTCTGTAAATTTTGTACCAGTTAATATTTAACATGGACTAATTCTTTCTGTAGCTCTTTTTTTTAAAACTAGCTCTTTTTTTTTTAAAACCTCCTGCTAAAAGATAAGTTCCTCGAGGAAAGGCATAATCTCTTACATTCCACATACCCAAACTTGGTGCTGTACGTATGTTAAGGTTGGATTCCAGGAGACTTCACATTGTGTTTGAAATAAATTTGCTAATGAGTCTTTTTTAGAAACATTTTTATTGTAAAGCAAAACATGGATACAGAAAACCTCATACAGCAAATGTATATCTCCCCCACCAGATCAAAAAGCAGAATTTTGCCAGCCACCCCGGAAATCCCTTATTTATGTGCCCTATTCCAGTTGCAACATGCTCCCTTCCCCCCAGAGCAACCATGATATTGATTTTTATGGTGATAATTTCCTTGCATTTCTTTATTATTTTATCACCCAAATGCATATCCATTTAGTTAAATCTAGCCTTTTTTTATGACCGCTTTTTTGAGATAGGATTCACATACCATACAATTCACCCATTTAAAGTATGCAATTAAGTGGTTTTTAGTATATTCACAGAGTTGTGCAACCATAACCACAATCAATTTTAGGACAT